CAGGAAAATGTTCTTCAAGGAAGTTATTTTTTTCACGTTCAGTTACAAAGAAACATTTTCCATAGCGATCGACTTCCACATTTTATAATTATGGGTAGATGGTTTAAAATTGTACAGTAACCGTTAATCTAACGGCAAAAATGGTTTATTGATTTATTAGTATCGGGGTAATAGTTGGCGAACTGATTGAAATTTTATAATTAATGACTAAATGGATTGAGAGCAGACTACTCAATAATTTTGAAACCCTAAATTCCTAATTTTTTAAGTATATTGGTGTTGGGAAAGTCAAACTAATAATGTTGTATTTGTACCACATGTTTCACCTCAAACTATGACATGATCTTCTTCGCTTTATCCATGGGTGAGTTCAGGTAGAAGGCATTGTACAAACTTACTCGATCAGAGTATCTTGGTTGAGCGCCGGCAATCCAATATTGTACAAGCTTGCTCGACCGGAGTATCTCGGTTGAGCGGCAATCCAACACTAGGAGTAGCAGCCCAGAGCAATCGTCTCTTGCCATATATAGAACATGTAAGGTTCAAAAAAATTTCTTCCTGAGAATATTTAAATATTTGCTCAGCTAGACATGTTTTATGGGTTATCATTGACAACAGCTTCATTATTGGCACTTGGCAGCGTCCTTAAGAGTGATTTTAAGAAAATAAATGTCCATTTGACTTTGTTGAAATCCTATACGGCTAAAAGTAAGAAGTCGGACAAATTCTCTAATTCTTTATTTTTTTTTATTGTCTATTTGATTTAGCTAATAATCCGTCTGATAATCGCTAATTCGATACTAATTCGTTCGATGTCTTATTGGATGACTAGCGGATTACTATATTTATAAAATAATAATCGATAAGTCGAACCGTTAAACGTAAAAATTAGCCTGATAAACACCCCTAATTATGGGTGGATGTTATTTTTCTTCTTACTATTTTAAGTTTTAAGCTCATATTATTTACTTCTAACGCTTGAACATTACCATTATTCATAAAACACATTTTCAAGAAACACCTTTTCCATTAATTATCGTCGTAGATAAAGAGGACCAAATGAATCTACTTCTCAGCACGATAGTAACACGTAGTCACAATTCGTCTTTTGTTTGGTCAGTTACTAAAGGACAAAACATCAAAGTAGATAAAAGTTCTTGAAAATGGACAATCTGCCTTTACCCTGACGAGGTATGTCTTTAGCATGGGTTTTAGGTAGGATTTCACATTTTCGGGCTTTTATGCCTCATTTTTTATTACGAAAACATACTTTAATCTATCCTTACTGAGGAAAGCTAACGTTGTGCTAACTTTCATTTGTTGTCACTGTCACAGGATCTTGTATCAATCGTTGGTTTTATCCACAATTTTCTCGTACAATATGGAATCCATTTATGGTGAGACCCACTTTCTGTAACTTTCCATTTAATTCTTTTCCCTTAGTAGACGCTTGAAATTTTACATGCACGGCGTTGAAAATGTTAGTTCACTAAACTATAACTTGCTCATTGATATAGTACATGTTTTGGAGCTCCAGTAACCTCTGAAGGATACAAATAATACTTTCAGACTAACCCCCACTAGATGGTTCTTAATTATTCCGTTTGTACATTTCATTTTGTATGACTTTATTTCCTTAAAAGTAATATCTTTTTATTTTTTGAGATAATTTAAATTTAAGATTCTCATTTTACCTTTGATAACATAGCTAACAATGTCATGACATATTTAAAATTACCATAAATTTCAAATGTGTTGCCACATAAAATGAAATGGGGGAATACAAAGAAACAAAAGCCTAACATACTATCATGAATGGTTCCAACGTTAATACTTTTGTCTTCTTCATTCTAGGGCTCAGTTCATGAAGCAAATTCTAATCTTGTTGAAGTGTGTGGCCAATAACTCATTAAAAGCTTATACTTTTAGAGAGATCACATTTTCGTTTACTCAATATATCTTTAACACACTCCATCGCGTGCGGGCATGTTTGTTCTTTCGGGTCAAGCATTTAGAGCTTCTCTTCAATAATGATAGTTGTAAGTCTTGAACTTAGACCTTTATCTGCTTTGATATTACATTGAAATGTGTTATCACCATCATCTAAATTTATATTAGAGAGATACTTTCATTTACTTAATTTGTCTTTAACAAGTATGACCTCAAGTATTTGCTCATTGACCATAGTAATTAGGTGGTACTCTATGTCCATTGTTTGTGATGTGCTATTGAAAGAAATGTACTTTCTTTATCAGATTTATGGATCACTGATATGAAGCTGCAATATGGATTTGGAAACATCATAATGGCAGAAGATGAGAGGTAATTAAGCTTTAATAATATTTCAGAAACAATTAAAGGCTCATTTCATCATAACAAACAATTCTCATATATTATATCATCTCTCATCTCTCTTACATAACATAGATGCAGGATGCATTTTTAATCAATATTTCATCATGATCTCATGCAAAACAAGCACTGATTCTCACCGATGCCTTCCTAAACAAAAGGAAATATAAGAGAGAAAAAGAAAACACTTTAAAAAGGAAAATAAAGGAAAACTGTAAAAGCAATTGACAGACTCCAACCTTCTTCTCCTCCCATTGCCGTAGAAGAAAGTCTCTTCATCCATTTTAATTCAACAATATAGCTGGTACTGCAATGATGCTCGCATCCTTCAAAAATATGGTGTCGAGTCCACCAAAATTTATGCGTTTTTGGAGAATTCGACATGAGTGTGACAGTAATATTTTTAAAAGATTCTAGCAACATATGATGGCACGCGGGTTTTAATTAGTAAATGGGAGGCAAAGAGTGATGTTGAGGGTCAGGTCCACCGGGTGCAACTCTATCAGAACCTCCTTTAAGAGAACGCCTTTTATACTCCTCAATCTCTTTCAGGCTAAATCCTGCCTTACTAAGAACAAAATGGCTATCATATTTGTTCACAACATTTGGCAAATCACCAAGTATACGAGCCTCCGAAGTTATGAAGTGGCAAAATATGAAGAGAAATGCTAGCATTAGTGATTTTGCATAAATTGATGAATTAGCCATCAAGTGAAATGGAAGGTTAAGCAAAGGACAATGGGATTTAATTGGTAGAGGTTTTTAGCTAGTTAAGTTGCAAGATGTATTGGTGTAGTTATTGCATGGAGTTTATGATCGATATTCCTATTTATAAGGAACAATTGTGAAGAATAAGGGCAATATGATAATGGAGCGAGCATGAATTTTTTTGTAGTTATTTGATTAAACCGACAAAGCTCCAGCATGGATTCTCCAATATGAAAAAGCTTTTAATCTTTACTGTTATTTTTTAAAATTAAATAATCGGCGTCCTATTGTTATATATTTCTAATATTCATTGGAGAATTCCTTTCTCAACCCCCCACTCCTTCTCCACCAAATTAAAAGAAAAAGCAAACCCTAACAAGCTTAGTGAAATCAGCAAGAACCTATGATATTATGTGATTACATAGGCCTAGCTGTTAAAACACTTAAAAGAGATAAAGAGAGCAACGATCGCGCCCTCTAAAACTCCTCAGCCAATGGTGAATTTAGAATTTAGACATTATCATTCTAAACTAAGAGTGTGAGTTCAGATATGTATATTTAATTCTATTTATATATTTTTTTGACATGCGCACATATGTAATTCTATTTACATATATTTGCTTTCGACCTTCAGCAGTGATTCTCAGTACCTGTTCATGACTCATCATTGGATCCGCCACTATTTTCGAAATTGTGGCGAAATCAGAAAATTCAATAAATTTGAACACCCTTTACCAGTAAGTTTTGCAAGAGTATTCAAAATCTATTTTTTTTCATCAATAACGAGTACTAATATTTTACCCAATTTTTCGACAAATGGTGTTCATTTGACCACCCTTGGCACACGTAGCTTCGACCCAGAAACATTTGTTACGAAGGTCTCCTTCTCATTTATTTTTTTTCGTTTTCTCTTCTCTGTTCGCGGGAAAAAGGTGATGTCTCAAACTCTAAATAGATATATTCACTTAGCCTAGGTACTAGCTAGCTAAACTCACAGGAGTAAAGGCAATGTCATATTGTCATTTTCTATGTATCAATTTGTTCAACTCATTTTATTGATTATCGTGTTAAGCCATTCAGTGTTAGGCGATGAATCAATTAAACTTGGTGATGCAGGCTGAATGCTTCAACTCACATTTAGACCTTTTTCTTGTTTTGACGTATATAACAATGCAAGTCATCTGGAGCTTCCAAAAACATTCTTGTTCTCTTGAGATTGGTTACTAGTGACTCATTCTCAGCTTGTGCTGCAGATTCTTTACATTGAAAAAGAATAAAGACTAACACAACCCAGCCAAATATTAGCCGTAAAGGGAAAGTTATTAGGATCTGATACTGTGATCTGTAAACTCTAATCCACCTTTTGCTCAGTTTAAAGCAATTAGTTAAAGGACCAACTTGACTGTTAATGGCTAGCTTATACGTATAGCAATATCAAGTTGCTGGCCTACAAAAAACCTAGGACTCTAGCTACTACGATATATGACCTGGCCTCCCAAGTCCCAGCAAAAAAACTAAGGCAGCTGGATGAATCGTGATATATATATATATATATATNATAAAACTTGTGATAATATCCGATCCCATGGAGAGACTACTGATCTACGATTAATATATCTCCTTTGATAT